TATAATTTATTTAGATATAAGTATAGTTTGTGAATATAATGTTTATAATACAATAAGTAATAGTAATAGTAGTGTTAAAAATGGTTATGTACGCATTATTTAGTAGAATTTATATGTATTTATTGCGAAAAAAAATAAAAAAAAATCTAAATTAAAGTTGTTAATATAAAACCGAATTAGTATATTGTAAATTTATAATGTGTCTTTAGAGTGTTTTTTAAAAGTTCGCGAGTTATAAAATTTTTGTCCGGGATTAGCCAGTACTCTATCCGGGTATGATCGACATTTCTTCCGGGGGTATCTTAACAACCAATCAAAACGAACTTCTGCTATGCTTTCTAAATAAACATTTTTAAAAATTTGTCTTATAATACCGAGCAATTATAAAGGTTGACTGTATATATATACAGTCGCACTTCCATATAATCACACCATTGAGACCTATAAAAAGGGTTCTTATATAGAAAATGTACTTATGTAGAGAGTAATTTATATATGTTTGAAATGTGTAGGAGGTGCTTATATGGGAATGCGACCAACTAAAAATAAATGATTGGTTAATCAACTATGCTTGTAAACATGTGTGTGACATACAAGATTTAAAAGCCGAATCGGATTAATGATCCAACTCAAGTTTTTGACATTTAGAAATATAGACTTGTCATGTCTCACAGTGAAAGAATGACCCGTTCGTTGTTTGTCTCTAGACTTTCTCGCCGAACAACGTAAGATTTATTAACTTTATTGTTTATTCAATGGCGAGTGATTTTCCTAACCGTTGATCGATCACAAGTGTTGAAGACCTTGAACCAATCTTCAAAGAATTTGGCCGACTCAAAGACGGTAATTAACTTTAAAGATAAATTTAAAGTTCTGTTCAAATACTTATAACTTTTTGATCAACGTTTTTAGTATATATACCAAAAGACTTTTATACAAGAGAGCCAAGAGGGTTTGCGTATATAGAGTATCCTTAAAGACTTTTCTTCTCAAGCAAGATCAAAAGTGTTACGTCTGCCGGGGGAATTCAAGTTTTATCACCAAAGAATTTTTTTTTTTTTCAAGACTTTTCCATCGGTCCTTGACAAGAAATCGCGGTTTTTTCTTCCCTTTTAACAAGATACTACGATGAACGCGACTGCGAAGAAGCATACAGACGTGCAGCTACTGTCTTTCTACATGGTCGAGAATTAACCGTGGAATTTGCTCGTGGATCTCGAAAGAGTTGGTGTTTTCCATTAAATTTTGTTGTTATTTGAAGAGTCTATATTTTTTTATTTTTTATAACTCGAATATGAATTTCAGCTCCAAGGGAGATGAGAGGCAAAGACAGTAATAGGTAATTTGATACAAGAAGAATAAAGAAAATGATGGTTTATTGATTAATTTCATTTTTATAGGTATTCTCCACCAAGGCGAAGTCGATACACTCCGGAAAATTCTTATAGACCGAGGTATGATTTCAAGATAAACTAATACTCATTTGACACGGAAAGATTCAATGCAGCAGATTTTATACTTTATCAGACGATACAGTCGTAGCCCTAGTCGACATCGCAGCAGATCTAGGTCGGATTATAGGAGACATGATAGATATGATTATGAAGAGGATAGAAAACGTTCTAGCCGATTCCGTTCTCGCTCAAGGTCATTGTCTCGCACGCCACCAGAACGCCGCAAAAGGTCAGGACAAGTAAACGGTCATCCTAAATCTCGATCCAGATCTCCTCATGGTGTTCAAGCACCTGTAGAGGAAAAAGAGACAGCTACGTAGTTCATTTTATTTCTCACATATGATCATGAATTTCAGGCATAATGATAGCTATTATTATTGAAACGCGGATCGGCTCATTAAGCTGGTAACGTGAATATTATGCAAAGTTGGTTCGGGAAGGTCATAATAGACTAACTATTATTTTTTCATGAATCTACAGTTGCAATTATGTGTAAATTTGATTGTCTTAGTGACTTACATCATATAATAGCTTTTTTTTTTAGTTAGTTTTAAAGATAATATGATATTCTTTTTTTGCTGTTCTTGCTTTATTGAAATTAACAAATGGTTTACTTAGTGAAATTGATTATTAAGATTATGATATTGTGAAATGTGTATCCTAAAATTATCTTTACCTAAACGATGTTTACCCGACATTTATAACTAATTAAATGCCGAATAATTGCGACCTGCTGTTTAATATTTATTCAGTATATGATCAGTAAAAAAAAGTTACTACTTGCTCGTGTAACAATTTAATGTGGTCAAAGAAGCAAATCCGAAAAGTAATTTGTTTCGATCATTACGTGTGCTGCCCAGGGTAGTGATAAATAAAAATTTTTATATACCTCAACTCTAAATTGACTTTTAAAAAGAAAAAACATAAATAAATACAATAGATTATATTAAAACTAAAAACATTGGGTTTCTAAATCTTTTATTTAACTCTAATTTCAACTCCTAATCCCTATTTCACTTTCAATTTTACTAAAATTTTTTTTTTTTAATATTTAAAGTGAGATTTTACTAAAATTTTATGTTATCTCTTAATCTGTATTTTAGGCAAATTTGCCTGGAATTTAGAAAAGTATTTATAATTTTTTAAATAAAATTAAAAATTATTAATAATTTAGAGTATATTTTATCAAAAGCTATACATCGTGTTCAACACCACATGTATAAATCAAAATAATTTTTTTTTTTTTTTAATGTTTATAAATCAAAAATAAATATTAAAAAAAAATTAAATTTTAATTAAGATTATAGTTAGTTAAAAGCTAAAATAGGGCAAGAGCTTAATTTATATTAAAATTTTGCAAGAAATTTTTTTTGTTAGAATTTAAAAGTGGGTTTATAGATAAAATTTTGAGTTATATTCTTTTTTTTTAAAAAAAAAACATAAATATTGAATTTTACTTTGTTAAAATATTACAAATTACAAAAAAAAAATTATAGTTATATCTCATATAATTACTTACATAATTATAAACTCTATATAATTATATATATATAATAATTTTATAGTCTTTTTAATAATAAAAATATATCTATATTATCACAACTATATAGTATTATCACTATTACATTTTTTTAAAAAGTTTTTTTACTAATTTATTAATAAAAATATCTTTTTAAAATTACAAATTAATAAAAATTTTTATTTTTTATTTTATTTTATTTTTTTTTATTCTCCCTCTGCTTCTCTGAAGGTCCTTAGACACCCTTCAGTATATCTCACTTTAATTCACTTAAAAGGCCAGTATTATCAGCCACAGAGATTATTGGTACACGTGTGGTACTCTATTTTTATTACTACACTAGTGAGCTTAACTATGTTTCTGTTGAGTCCATTAATTAACGTCCTGGGTTCCTAGTCCCACGGTGTAGAACCTACTTACATTTTTTTCAGTTCACAGTTTCCTAACCCACATGACCTACTAGCTGGATTATCTTTTTATCAGAGAGTCCTTATGTTAATGACATTTCTTGTCAGATTTTCACTTTTTTGGTGTTGTGTAACTTTTGTAGCTATGTCCCACTACAGGTTAGTTTTGTTTTATCTTCTCAAAGATTATTTCTATTCGTGATTCTAACACAGTTTTTTTGTCCCCTAGTGAACTCGAACCGGTGACCTTGCAAACATAACCTTGGAGCACTAACCACTATGCTATTGACCCTAGAGTCTAAAATTTTTATTTAAATTTTATAAATTTATAAAATTTAAATAAAAAAAATTTATTAAATTTAATTAAGCAGTTATTAAAATATTCTTAATTAAAGATTTAAAAATATTTATTAAATACTATCTCTTAAACTATTTTTTAGACAAATTTGTCTAGAATTTTAAAAAATATTTATAATTTTTTAAATAAAATTAAAAATTATTAATAATATGGGGTATATTTTATATATACAATATTTTATTTGA